AAACCGTGTACTTGCTGGGACCACACACCTGTTAGCCCTTGTGTTTCCTTGTGCCCAAGGAAAGCTACAGCACTGAAGGGATTCAAGAGACAACATTCTTGGCCACTTGCCCCTCCCTCTAAAATCATGTACCCTGTGCTCTTGTGTTGTTCCCAAGTGATACTTCTCACTCCCAGAAAATACCAGCTTATTCTCTTTTTTTTTTTTTTTCAGAGCCAAGCTCAGATGTCCATTGAGCCCCCTCATAGAAGTAAAATCAATCCCACTCTCCTTGGTGCCTTTCAAGCAATATCTTTTACCCCTCTTGTTCACCTCGTCTGTCCCTGAGCTACATGCTGCTGGTCACCCAAGCACCCCCCCACCCCACCCAGGGGAAGGCTCTGTATTTCATCTTGAATGACCCAGAGCCCTAGCTGGTGTCTGATGGAATGAATGAGACAGCCCTAAGCCATAGCCTTGTGTTGGAGGGTTCTCTTCAGTCTCCAGCCTTGCTTCTTAGAAACCCATCATTCTTCCTCTCCAAAGGGACCAGCAAGCTGCTCGTGGGTAGGTCCTTGCCTCTTTGCCCCAGACCACAAAGAGCTTCCACATCTCCTTTCCATCCCATTTCCTCGCTTCTATGGACATCAATTTTTATCTTTTCCATTAGCTCTTAGCAGTTTAGTGACCATTAAAATCTTAAGGTGGCATCTGAAAGTGCATTTTACATGCATGTGGTATCTTTGAACCCCCCTGGAAGCATGAGCCAGAAGGCTTGCCTGTTTACCAAGAGGGAACTTGTAACTTTCATTACAACCCCTGAGCAGGTCACACACACCCACAGTCACTGAGCTTTGGAGGAGAAACTGAACGGAGAGCAGGGAGTAGACTTTCACTTTCCCACTAGAACCCTATCACACCCGGTACCTGTGCTTTGCAGCATGAAAACACTGAGGCTCTTGGGAGGGGCTTATTAACCCCGAGAACAATAAACAACCTTAAGAGGGCAGGACACGTTCATCTGTGCAGTTGCCACTGCCTGGGTGTTGAGCCTAAGGGGGAGCAGAGAAAGTCTCCCTTGGCAGTGTCAGCAGCATCTCTGCTCACCTTCAGCCCACTAAACACGCTTGGACTCTCCCACATGGCAGCTTCTCAGATATTTGAAGACCACTATCTCACCTGCCTGCGGCTCTTCACTTGTCTAGACTTCCTTCAGCACTTGCTTACGCTGTCTTCCATCATCCAGGATATTTGGCATGAGACATCTCTCTTAGGATGTAGCAGCCCTCATGGCCCTTGTCCTACAGGCTGCATTTCTGTCTATGCAGAATATACAAATACAGTCTATGGTGGTCTTTGAGTTGTCAGTGGCATCATAGCCCAGGGTGGGGTACATGGAGCCTGTCATCTTCCAAAGTTCCTGGACTTATTTTCTCAGTGATGTGAATAATGCCATTCACTTTTCCATTTCAGAGTACTCAGTAACAATTTGCTCATAGTTTGCATTTTTAAAATAGAAATGCGTTGTTGTGTGTGAGAAGTGAATGTCCACTTTCCACTCTTCCCCACGGCACGAGACCAATCTAAGGGATATGGCTGTGGACTGGGAGTGGATGATCCAGGCAAAGGGAGGTTCAGCTTTGAGTCCGTCTCAGCACCACCCCGTAGGTCACGGCATCTGGGACTTGTATTCTTAGCTGCTGCCTCCTAGCCAGCTTGTAAAATGGGCTGTAAATTCCTCGAGGGCAGAGAACGTCACATCTTAACCATCTGTACCCCCAGTGTTTATCCCAGTATTAAAGGCTCATCTCACAGTCATCATCATGTCTTCTTATTTCTGCCTCCTGGCTGTTCCATGCGCCCCTCGCCTTCTCGCTGCCTCTGCTGCGTGCCCAAGCTCTGCCACCTCTGGCTCGCTCCCATACCAGCTGGAAATGCCCAACTGCTCCTGCTGCCCAAGCACCAGCCACCATGAAGCTTCAACACCTCAAGCTGGATCTCATCACTTCCCCTGCCCAAAACTCACAGGAGCACTGGAGTTCCCCAGTTCTGCACCACGCTCCTTTCTTGCTGAGTAGTCCCTGTGCCGTAGGAGCTCATAAATGAGAACAAAGGAGTGAACCATAACCTGGAACATGCCTATTTCAAAGAAAGTGGTCAAGTGTTGTGGTACAATGGGGTAAGCCTCTGCTTGTGACACCCACATCCAGTATTGGAGGGTCTGGTTCGAGTCTGTTACTCCACTTAGGATCCAACTTCCTGGGAGGCAGTGGGTGATGGCTCAAGAACTCAGGTCCCTGCCACCCATGTGGAAGATCCAAATGGAGTTACAGGCTCCTGGTTTGGGCCTGGCCATATCCCAACTGTCACAGACATTGGAGGATTGAACCAGTGTATGGACGATCTCTCTGTCTCTCTCTCTGTCTCTGTCTCTGTCTCTCTGTCTCTGTCTCTGTGTATGTGTGTGTCTGCCTTTCAAACAAACAAACATGTTTAAATAAGGAAGAGCACCTTAGGGTCTGGAATCACCTCCAGGCAGAAGCGTTCCCAGATAAGCCCAGCAGGAAACACTGCCTCCCTTGTGCCCCAGTCTACATGAGTCTACAACTGAAGGTGAATCCTTGGGCCATTTTTCTACTTTGCTGTGATTCTCTGTGTTAGATTATACACCCCTCATGGGCAGGCTGCAGTATCGTCCTAGAACAAAAACCAGGGCCTTGCTTGAGCAGAGTTGGCCTCAAACAAAGCCTCTTGACCACACACATGAATGAGCTGTGTAAAAGGATTAGAGACCACACAAAGTGGCACATCTCCCTCCACTGGTGCTGAGCTGTGGCTCAAGAGAGAACCATCTCTGGGCTTCTCCAGCCGGTACAGAACGTTCCACTGACATATTACAGAATGACCAGGGACTGCGGCTCTGGGACACCTGCCTATCCCAGGGGGCTGGCAGAGGCTTCGTGGGAATTGCAATTCTGGAGCTCACTGAAGGGAAACTGTACTAGATGCTAAATAATAGCTGATTCTAAAGTAATATGGGAATAGTAATACAAGAGGACTTCACAAAAGTTCATGGCAAATGGAATTAAAAGATGAATGTGTTTGGGTGCAAAAAACTTTGAAAGCCATGCATAGAGGAATCTTCAAAAAGCTAATGAAACATTCATATCATGAAAAGTATATGTTGATTTCAAAAATATTAGTGGCAGAATAAACATGTCTTTTGATTCCATTTTCCCATAGTATTTTTAAGACTATTGCCATAAAATAGTAACAAGTAACACTGTAGTACTAAAGTATCAACTGTTACTATAGTTGAAGGAAAATAGTACTAAATAGGAATAGTACTAATAGTACTCTAATATGTTATATAATATATAACATGTGTATTATATATAATAACTAATAGTACTAAGTGGTGTAGCAATAACACTACCCTTGAAGCCTTACTAAGATATTTTTCCCTCTCCTAGGACACTTTGTGATTCCCATACAACACTTCCTAGAGTCCAAGGCATGAATGCGTTGCTGCAGTCTTAGACGCACACAGAGAATGAAGGGCCACGTTTACATGTGTGCTGAAAACATAGTCCACATGCTTCCTCTTCCGTGTGCTTCTCTAGTCTGTTACTTCCCATCAAGGTGGTTCCTCATCCAGTGGTGGCCACGCACTTAGTACAAGGGAACTGCACTAAGTGCACAGAACATGCAATTGAAAGAAAATTAATTTTGAGACAAAAGTTTTTGAAAGCCATGCATAGTTTTTTTTTTCATAACATGCATTTCCTTTGAACTTTTTGAAGCTCTCCCCATGCACAGATTTTAAAATTTTTTACACCATAATCAACTTATTTTCATTCCATTTCTCTGAACTTTTTGAAGTCCCCTCATACATGGTAGACTACCCAGCACTTTCATTCACATCAGCATTGAACTTCAGAAACTCCAGCCTTGTGAAATAAATAGAGAAGGAATTTAATTTTCTCATTTTATACTGAAGAATCATAAAGTTCAATGCGTTGAAATTACTTGCAATGGTTACTTGTAGTGACAACATTGACCCTCAAGCCCATGCCTTGGGCTTCAGTGCTATCCCTGAGCCAACCTGGTGCCACCGCCCACCACTGAACACAGAACACCCTCCAGGAAAGGAAAGCTAACCCTGGTCCATCAGCAGTAAGCTGAAGAACTCTGACCTGTGTTCGTCAGCCACCGGTGCCCACCTGGGTCACCCACCTGCGTACTGTGCTCTGCAGTCAGTGCACCTGTGGCACCTCCAGGTCCCCTTCCCAGGCTGTGCTGTGGTTGGATCTCATCCAGGTAGTGGGGGAGGGAGCTCAGGTCGGACTGAGGTGAAGTCAGAAAAGGAAAGACAAAAATCCGAATTCCGTCTACAGAGCAGTGTGTCTCAGGCATTCAGTCGCATGTCAATCACCTGGGTTCTTACCCAAATGCAGAGCTTGGTTGAGTTGGTTTGGCACAGAACCCAAATATTCTAACAAGCTGGTCTACAGACCACCCTTTGAGAAGCAAATGTCTAGAGTCAAGAAGCTAAAACATCTCAGCTACTAAAGAAAAACAGCCAATCAGTGGGCCAGCAGCTTTCTTAAAAACTTGAGATGGAAAAATGTGACTTTGAAAAAATGTTATTTTATGAATCTTGATGTGAATGGAAAGGGAGAAGGAGTGGGAGAGGGGAGGGTTGCGGATGGGAGTGAAGTTATGGGGGGGGAGCTATTGTAATCCATAAGCTGTGCTTTGGAAATTTATATTTATTAAATAAAAGTTTTAAAAATGTTATTTTAAAAATCGTGTTTGTGGTAGGAACCCCGAGTTGAAATTAAGATGTCTTATAAATGTACACATTCACCTAGCCTACCTGTACTTCAATTTCCCAGGTTCAGAGTGGAGGGCAGCAAATCCTGCCTCAAGCTAATAATGTGTATACCAGTGTCTGTAACATTATGGGGAAAAATGGAGATTATAATTTATGATGTTTTTCCTTTTTTTCTCCCCCGTAGGAGATGTCAGTGAAGAAACGGACCCAGAATGACAACTAACCCATGACTCCCAACAGTATGACAGGTATCTGTTTTTTTAAACTTTTCTCATATGTCTCCATTTTTATTCTACCTAAAGGGAAACAGGTTCCAAAAGACAAACCTGAGGCTCTTAGCAATGATTATTTCCAAACCCTATGAATGTGTCCCTACAAACGCACTTCCTTCAGAAATGACACGAGATGCGTCATTGGCCAGAAAGATGTTAGGCAGGAGGTGATAGCTCGCAGTAGAAGGTTAGCTTTAGCCATCTGTAGTCATCCTTGCACACTCAGTATGTTTATGCTTTTTTAAAGATTTATTTATTTATTTGAAAGGCAAAGTTACAGAGAGGCAGAGGCAGAGAGAGAAAAGTCTTCCATCTGCTGGTTCACCCCCCAAAATGGCCACAATGACCAGAGCTGGCCGATATGAACCCAGGAGCCTGGAGCGTCTTCCAGGTCCCCTTGCTCTACACGCAGGACCATTCCTCCAAGAACCCCTTCTTTAACCAGTCTGAGAAGCGGAAGCCACTGCACGTTGCCACGCAGCCTTCTGAAAGTTTGGAAGCCCCCCAAATGGCCATAGACATTACCTCTCCCAGCGTCGTCCCCTTTCTCTGTACCGGCCTGAAGCAGCAAAAAGAGAACCTGAGAATACCAGTATGATTCACACCTGTGAGCTGTGAGGATCACAAAATCACATTTCATCTTGCTTCCCATTAACATTACCAAAGCCTGCTCACTCCCAATTCTGTCGCACTGTCCCCTGGGTCATACTGTTCACCTCTTAAATCTCACCCCTTTAGCTCATCAACCTGTTCATCCAGTGGAGGATGGCTACAGAGCAGCCTTAGCTGCAGCCCCCATGTTCGTGCTGGTGCGAATGGGAATCTCCAGCCAGAGGGATGGTGCTGAATCCTTTGCAGGCACAAATCCACATGAACACAGATACTAGGCAGCAGGGAGCCATGCTACAACAAAAACAGGGAAAGCGGCCCCTCTGAAAAGGACAGTGTGAGAGCGACTGCTACACCAGGTGGCTCCAGACTCCATAATTTGCCCACCTGAACTCGCTTCCAAGATTAAGCTTGAAGAACACATCCTTCTGAGACAGAAGCAAATGGCAAAACCTGGCATAAAAGCATCTCATACGATGACTGAGGTTAGTTCTAGATGGAGTATAATAGTAACACCCTCTCCAGGCCCCCCAGGTCAAGGATTAGCAAGCATTTATTTATTAAGACCAATGAGTTGGTATTTTAGGCTTTGCCGCCCATATGCTGTCTGGTCCAACTACTCAGTTCCACCACTGTAGCATGAAAAGCCACCGATTTTATATAAATAAATGGAGTTGACTGTGTCTTAATAAAACTTTATTTGCAAAACAGTTCCTAGGCCAGCTTTGGCCCACGGACTGTCATTTCCTGGTGCTCAGCAGAGGGTGGCCCCAAAGGTTCCCTTCTAGCTGTAGTCCATGCTAGCACCCAGCAGGACCCAGGAGGCTGAGTCAGCTCAAAGGCTGAGGTGGGAATCTAGGCTCCCTCCTGGACAGTTCCAGACTAAGCCAGCTTTCTACCCCACCCTGTGGAAACTTGGCTGCTTTAGCCAGCAGGCTGAGGTGGGGACCCCACCACCCCCTCGTGGACCAGGGAGTTTTCACTTCCAGAATCTGCACAAAGTGTAGACACTGAATTCAGTTCTGTTTTCAAAGAAGCCTGCTCCATGGACATATGTATTCAGTGTGTCAACGGGCTCAGGTAAGGACATCATTGCTTCAGCACCTTGTTTGTGTGTGAAATTAAAGTGTCTTTTCCCCCTCTCTCCTTTGCTATAGGCTTGGTCTACATGTTTAAGAAATCTAAAGGGAGGCCGGCGCCGCGGCTCACTAGGCTAATCCTCCACCTTGCGGCACCGGCACACTGGGTTCTAGTCCCGGTTGGGGCGCTGGATTCTGTCCCGGTTGCCCCTCTTCCAGGCCAGCTCTCTGCTGTGGCCTGGGAGTGCAGTGGAGGATGGCCCAAGTACTTGGGCCTGCACCCCATGGGAGACCAGGATAGGTACCTGGCTCCTGCCATCGGATCAGCGCGGTGCGCCAGCCGCAGCGGCCATTGGAGGGTGAACCAACGGCAAAGGAAGACCTTTCTCTCTGTCTCTCTCTCACTGTCCACTCTGCCTGTCAAAAAATAAAAAAAAAAAAAAAGAAATCTAAAGGGAGGCCATAATAGAGTTGTAATTCCTTGGAACTAAGTGCTTGGTCTAAAAGCATAATTAATGCCTCTTTTTCGGTGAAAAGCATGATAGGTAACAATCCCATTATGCAACACAGGAAATGAACCAACCCTTAAGGGAAAGAAAACTGCTTTCTAAGTGAGCAGCAGTCAGGAACAACAACTCCATCTTCCTGCACGTGCACAAGCCAGCGTTTTCCGATAGAAGACGCGCATGTTTGGGATGTGGGCTCTTCCAGCCACAGTGTTTATCGAATTTATGCATTTTGCATTTACTCAATTGGAAAAAATGTTTAATTTCTGGGGTTATTTAATGTCAGCTGCAATGAAGTCAGGTCTTGCCAAAATTCTCTCACTGCTTTACCCCCGCTAGTTAATTTCGAGCAGTTAAGAACTGTAAATCAGTCATTGAAAAAGACTGATTCTTAAAGAGGAAAGCAAGAAAGTGCCTTAATGTGCTATTTTATTGGTGTGGAATTAAGCACCACTTCCTAGGTAATCTGAGGGGAATTTGCTGACATTCATGACATGATAATGAGCTCCATTTTGAATAAAACCATGATTCGTAGCAACGAGGAATTTGTTCTAAGATGTGAATATCTAGGATTTTAAATACCAAAGTTAGAGGCTTTGGGCCTTGGTTGAAAAAGAAAAAAAAAACTCAAACTCTCCTAATTGTGCCCAAAGAGACAACACGAACGATCTGTTAGGTTTACTCTGAACTTGCCTTTATGAATTAGAGTACAGCATAAACTAAGCACAGGGTTTGACGTTTTCATTGAGACAGGGCCCCCAGTAATTCAAAGCCACACTGCGATGAACTCTTTCATCTGCACAGTATAGCCCTCATTCTGTGTTTCACCTTGCGCTGTCTCAGGACTTCCTTGTTCATTGACTCCCCTGTTGTGTGGGGGTCTTTTTTCTCTATAAGGCATCATTATTATTGAGTATGTCCTGGGTCCCAGGGGAGTGATGGGTGCAGGGATGGACAGATGCCAGTCCAGTTTTTGTTTTCCAGAATTTTCCACTGTGTGATCTTACATCGACTTGTGCTTGCTTGCTTTGAAAGATATTCATTTGTTAAGCAAAATGAAGAGTAACTTTGGTCTATAAAAATCTAAATTTCCCTTATTACTCCTGAGATTTAGTACTTTTTACACTTGTTGGCCATTTGCATTTCTTCATCTGTAACTCTCTTGTTCATATTTATTTTCCATTTGTCCATGGTAGTCTTTATCTTTTTTTGTCCTTATTTACAGAAGCTGTTTACATATTTGTATTAAGGGTATTATAAATATTTATTTATTTATTTATTTTATTTGAGAGACAGGAACAGCTCCTATCCACTGGTTCACTCCCCCAACTGCCCGCAACAGCTGGGGCTGGATCAGGCCAAAGCCAAGAACCCGGAACTCAATGCAGGTTTCCCACATGGGTGGCAGGGACTCAGCCATATGACCCCTAACCTGCTGCCGACCAGGGTGCACAGTCACAAGCTTAAATCAGGAGCAGAATCAGGACTGGCACCCGGGCACTCTGGAATGTATGCATCCTAAGGGTTTCCACCTGGCCCAATGCCCACCTCTAACTGTTAAAGGACATCAGCTAAGCAAGTCAGATCTGAATCAGATCTCTCCAGATCTGATTCCTCATCAACTAAACGAGAATGTGAGTCAGTTCATCTCTAGCTCTCCTTCCACTTTATTTCAAAATTGAACATTTACAAATCACATTTTCATAAAGTAAAGCATGCATACGTGGATAGTCGGGTACAAAGAGACAGTGAACCTTGGAGAAATGCACTGTGTGTTTTGAGACTTCCCTTCTGCACCAGTTTTTCAGAGTCAAACAAAACGTTTAAGTCAGGAAAGCTCCGTATTTTCATGAAAAACCCAAGTCATTTTTCAAATGTGCAGTGGCAGCTGTTCCCTAAGGCTTTCAACCACTCTTTAATGGCTACTCCATTGCTTCAGAAATAGAATTAAGTGGTGTGAATGTCCTACAGCCTACGTAAAATAGCTTGCAACGGTGTCAGAAGGTTATTGACAGCAAAATGGGGACACCACTCAAAGGTAGCATTTTAAAATGCTAACCGTTTCCACAGTCAATAATCACCCTTCTCTGAAAGGGTCTTGCTCTCAGCTACTTAGTAACCCAGCATCCAGAATACAGTGCCTGATGGGATGGTTAGGCTGTCAACGTAATATTAGTATAAATAATATCTGATGAGTATACAATGACTGAGTGTATATTAATATGATGAATATATATTATAATGAACTCTCTTGCCTATAATTTTGCATATCTCTGATTATTTCCTTGGGATAAAGCCTACTAAGTAAAGGAAGTGACAGATTAAAGGAACTGAACAGCTTTTAAAACTTTTTCTATTACCAAACTGTAACCAGATTATTGGACCAATTGAGACAGCCACCAGCACTGCAACCCCCATTTGTAACCGTATACTTTCCAACCATGGAGTTGCTGGTAGCTTATTTGCATGTTAGGAGGCCATTATAAGCCAAAATTTTATCAAAACTTTACACTTTTCTTATTGATAATAAATTTAATTAGACACATGCACACATGTTGATTGGCCACATAAACTTCATCTTTAGAATTTGTTTAACTTTTCTATTGTGGCATTTGTCTTTATCTTATGATTTGTCTATTGAGGAATTAACTCATTGTCAATCATAAATGTTACAAGAAGTTTTCCTGATTTAGTATATGTCTCTTGTTTGTGACAGTATTTTACTTTTTTTTAAGATTTATTTATTTATTTGAAAGAGTTACACAGAGAGAGAAGGAGAAAG